ATATATTCTTAATATTTATATATACAACCTGAATACTGCTTTTTGATTCTAATAACTTTTCAAGTACTTTTAATTGCGATCCCCATCTTATTTTTACAGAATTTACTAATGCAATAGTTTTATTTATTTCTTGTTTTTAAGTTTCATGAAGGTAGGCTTTTACTACTTGATAAGAATTAAAATAATTAGTAATTTTATTTGCTATTCTAATATATCACATACCCATTGTAAATTATCATCAATAGGATTGGATTTTTTAAAAATATCTGAAATAATTAAGTTTGTTAAATGTGTGACACATCTATAAAAAAGTATAGAAGGAAAATCTGTACAGAAAATATTCCAAGCTGCATGCATATTAGCAGCATTATTAGTTATAACTAAAACTACAAAATTTTCCTTAAATTCTAAAATAACTTTCGAATTCCTTCTGCAATATATTCACCTGTATGAGAATGAGTTTTTGTTTCTATTGATTTAAAAAAAATTGGTCCCTCTGTTGTTAAAGTCATATAATTAATAATTGATTTATTGTTCTGATTAGACTATCTATCTGTTGAAATAGAAATAAATTTTTCCTTTGAATAAATTTTTTCAATTTTTTCTTTAACTTCCTTATATTCATCTCTTAGCAAATTATCACTAAATAACCAATGAGATGGTGGATTATAAGTAAGTCAAAGTGATTTTAAAGCTGCAATAATAAAATTATTTTTAATTAAAGTATGTGAAATATCACCTGCATAAAATGCACATGCAATTTTTTTGTCAATAGCTTTTTGTTCAATAGAACTTAATTGATGTAATAAATAAAAATCAATTGGCAAGTTTGATTTTTCTTGAGTAATGGTAGTAGATGAAGTTATAGACTCATTTTGATTTGAAGTTAAAAATTTTGATATTTTTGACAAGAATTTAAATTTGTCCGAAAACGTTATGCTTGGCCTGATAGTTTATGAACATTGCATATATTCTGCTTCTGGATGTCCTTTTGGTATATTTGGTGGATATTTTATAAATTCTTTTCAAGCAGGATCAGTCATTTTAAAAAGAGATGTCTAAATAATTCAAATTTAAAAAAATTTGATTAATCTGATTAATGCTTCTTTTATAGTATTCCTAAAACTTTATAGTGTTATTTAAATTTAGCTTTAAAATAGTATAGTTTTTTAATATAATCAAATTAATATTATAATTTTTAAATTTTATCATATAAAATAGCATATATATTAATATTAAACAAATATATAATAATTTATTTATTTTTTCTTAATATTTCGATATTATTTTATTTAATACTAAAAGTCTTAAATTCAAAGTTCCAAATACTAAAGGTTTAGGTATTGTAAAGTTAAATAATTGTGGCTGTAACTACTATTTTGCTCAATTGATTATAATATAATAAAAGTCTTGCCTAGCATAAGATATGCTTATACTTATATAACTTTAATGCATAAGTATTTATTTAATTCTGCAATTATATATTTGGCGTAATACTTATACTTTATTATTACTTACTTTATATTTTACTAAAATAAACTCCTGATAAATCGTTATTGTTATAAAACTAATGATCACAATACTTACTATACCTGGTCTTATTAATATTGTATAAAATGATATATCAAAACTAATATAATAACATACTATTTTAAATATAATATAAAACTTGGTTGATTCAAAACTTTATAAACTTTGATATTGTAATTAAACTTTGCTTTGCAATAATGCAGTAAATTAGTTGATAATTTTTTCTTTTTAATATAGTATCTAACTAAATTAGTATTATAATTATTAAAGCTTACTGCATAAAATGGTATCTATATATATATAAGGTTAATATGTATAATATGTAGTATGATATCTTTAAAATAATTTAAAACTTTGTTGATTCAAAACTTTATAAACTTTGATATTATATTTAAACTTTATATTATAATAATGCAATAAAGCCTTTTTTTTTAATGCAATTAAGTATCTAACTAATTTAGTATTATAATTATTAATGCTTACAATATAAAATAGTATATATATTAATATCAAACCAATACAATAACATAATATATCAAATATAATATGATTCAAAACTTCATATATATAGTAAATAAAAGATATTATTGGTCTTTATTTTTAGCTAAAGGTATCTACCCTGCATATTATTAGCCTAACGGTATCTACCGATATCTACCGGTAGATACTAGTAGTAGATCTTGACCAGTAGCTACCAACTCACATCACTAGATACTGTACAACTTTACAAACAACGAATACATAATGACTAAAGGGATCCTATCAGTTTCCGAACAGCCACTTTCCTGACAATATCAAAATCTTGGCAAGTTACTGTATTTACGCGAAATAACGCACAGGGGTGTTATTTAGAATAATGGGCCGAATTAAGCTTAATTTAGGCCAAAAATTGTAATTTCACCCCTGCGTGTTATTTCGCGTAAATACGGTAGCCTGCATTAGATTATGGTTGGTATTAGTTCCGGTCATCTCTTGTCGGGATTTTGTTTGTCTAAAAAATGATAGAGATCCATGGCTGAAAGGCATGGCTGAAAGGTATTTAATCTAATTAGTAAATTTATTTCATGGTTGAAAAGTACTTTAAAAGTTCATACTGTATCAGCAGATTCGCGGAATTGGGATTAAATGAGATATAAAAATAATTTAAGGAGTAATTAACTATAACGATCCAAAATTTTTGTATCATTATTGTAAATTATTCCTTAAATTATACATAAACGTAATAAAAAATGTAATAAAACTTACACTAAATAGAAATCGTATATTTTTTAGTCACTGAAATTACAGTATTCCGACACCATGGCATTACAGCATTACGGTATTACGGCATTACGACATTATGGCACTACAGAATTACGGCAAATAATACGGCACATGCCGTTGCCGTATTAATTTGCCAAATCAATTCTACCGCCAACTATAACTCTATGGGATTGGGTTTAAATCACCACCCAAAAAAGTTTCAGTTATCCTAACAGGCCAATCAAAATTTAAGATCAGGTGTAACGTAAC